CCTATGAAGCGGTATATAAGTCTACTGCTATTGCTATTGCTATTGTACAGATAATTTAAAAGCAACAGGTTCAGTGAGAGTGTTTTGTAGGATTGTACAAGTGCTTCAGAAAAAAAATACTTTGGGACACACAATATGAGACCCATCTCCTTGAAATGCTAAAGCAGATACATCTTTCTCCAGGCTTGTGCAGCTGCTTTGGAATGTGATTCTGGCTGTGTCTGCCCAGGCAGTCAGAAACACTTTCAGTGTTTCTGCATGAGCTTGGAAAAAGAAGTTTCTGCATGTATCAAAACAACTCTTTGTAAGTATTTCCACAGTCCTGGAATTTAAAACAAACAGAAAACTTGCTTCTGATTGGTGTTCTTATAGGCTTTTACCTTTGAATGTTGGTTTAAAATTTGCAAATAGTTTTCTTCCCTTTAAAAATAACTCTATGCAAATAAGGAAAGGAAAATCCTAGGGTTATTTATATTTTAAAAATTTCTGAGAGGTTATTTTTTATTTTACTTTTAACTTGAACTTTAGTCCCTTCAAATAGCATGCTACAACCTTATTCCTTTTCATTTTTCTTTGTCCTTTATCACAAAATTTTGACCAGATGATTTTATAAATCCAGTGTAGGAAAATTATTCAGGTCACTCTCAATTTATTGTTAGCATAGCCCTTTTAATTATTAAGACATTAGACAGTTTGTACATCCAATGTAACATTTTTAATCATGACATTCTTGTAGCTTCTCATTTTAAAATACACTTCCAAGTTAGAACCTGTTCCTCTTCCATAACATCATTTGAACAGAGTCTGTATATACAGAGACAGATACTATTAAGATTACATTTTGGATCCGTTGTTTAAAAAATTGCCCCAGTGTTGGCAATTGCAATCCCAATTGCTGTTGTTAACCAAGGACTATCTGTACATATTTTTGAAGTTCTCTGAAGACATTCTGCAATTCTGTTTGATTTGTACCAATGTTAATATTTATTATTCTAGGATTTTATACGATAAGCATTTTACTTAAATTATTTAAATGTATGTTGCATTTTCAGATTGTTTATACCTTGTAGGAGAGCACCAACTTGGTTTAGTGGCTAAGGCAGCAGACTGGAAACCAAGAGACTGAGAATTCTAGTCCCACTTTAGGCTCAAAGTTAGTTGGGTCAGTTTCACTCTCTCTTGGTCCTAGGAAGAAGGCAGTGGCAAGCCACTTGCCAAGAAGACTGCAGAGACCAGTCCAGGCATGAACATTGTCTCAACACAGTCGTTAAAAATCAACATAGGCATAATGTTATGTATTGTATCTTATGTAAAGGTGATTAAAAATTGAAATTGTACTAGGGCTGCATAACTACACTGCACTGAAAGAACTATAGTGCTTGAAAATATTGCTGGCTGGTATTATAACATAAAACAGTTCCTCTGTTAGGCAGGGTGCAAATCTGGACATATCTATGCCAATTTTGGGGGGAAAGGATAGTAATTGTGAAGAGCTGAATGGAATACAAAAGAAAAATTAAACTTTGGATTTTTTTCAGTGGGATTTTCCCCCCATTTGTTTCTGATAAACTTCATGGAAATGGATATTTTGCTGTTTTGATGTAAATAATTTGTTTAAAGCTTTTGGTGATTTTTCACTAAATGTTTATTGTCTAGTTTCATACATTGTATCCTGTGAAAATATGTAGATGAGCAGATACCTTAACTGTATTAAAAAGGGGGAGGTTTTTCTCTTAGCATTTAGTCCCATGACTTCCTGGAGACATTCTTCTTCTTTTTTACCAACAATGTAGTAGTGGTTTGCCCCTGACTTTATCTAGAATCGTTTGTTTGTTTCCTAGTCAAACCTGGATTTTTTTAAAATGATCTCCCATTTAAGCATTAACAGCATCTAATCTTTCTTGGATTTCGGTAGGCTAGCTCAGCCTCCTATTGTGGACTATCAATTATCTACCATTTGTATTTTTTAATACTCTGTAGTGATGCTTAGTTCTGGGGGAGTTTTTTTGTTTACATTTTGTCTAGAATTTGTAAGACTGGCAGGGTTTTCTGCATATCTACTCAAAAGTAAACATTTTGAATTTACTGGAATTTCTAAGTATATGTATGTATGAATAAATAAGTATATAATTACGTATATATAAGTATATTAGAGATAGTTCTCAACTTATAGTCATTTATTTATTGACCATTCGAAGTTTACTTAACAATCATGCAAAAAATTGGGCACAACTCACTTAACAACTGTCTTACTTAGCAACAGATTCTGGTTCCAATTGTGATCATTAGTTGAAAAGTATCTATAGTGGTATGCTACTATAGTGGTATGCTACATACACCTTTAAATTTCAGCAGGTTTTTGTATTTTTTTACTCTCAGGTGCTAGCAGTTTTTAAGATACTACTACTATTTTCTAATGTGTATGCAAAATAACAAGTTTTTGTTTTCTCCCAAGGAACAAATATGCACCACTGTGGCTTCCGTGGTTCTTCATATCTAGGAATACCTTTCAATCCATCTAAGGTTAGTGAATAATGTATTTTAACTGACACTTTAGAAGTTAAAATGGAAACCAGGTATAAAATATAAACATAGTGCTTTATGTGTAGAAATTAAAAAGTTTAAAGTAAAAATGCTGTAATGTTTTCTGAAAATGTAGGGAAAATATTTTTATTTACAGACATAATTAAATAGAGCAAATTGGTATATATATGTGTGTGTGTGTGTGTGTATAATGATATGATATTCTTATAAAACCTTTAAGCTAATGCAGATATTTTTTTATATCTTAAATAATGAGCCATTCTTATCCAGTCTATCATAGAATGATTCAGATTATAACTTGGCTGTACAGAAAAATGAATGTACTTCTCTAAAAGTCTATGGAGATTCTAAGACATACAAGTCATGGTTATCTTATCCCAAAGGTGCTTTTTTAGGAGGCAACTGGACTTCCTTATTTTTTCTTTTGAAGACATTACGCTTCTTATCCAAAAAGTTTCTTCAGTATTTCAAAAAGCGAAACATCTTTAAAAGAAAAAAACAAGAAAGTCCAAGATACAATTTGGGTGGACTTTTCAGTTACATTAGCTATTAAGAATCACCACATTACTATTTTCAACTTTACTGGGAACCATCAGATGCTGGTCTGATAAAATTTCTCAAATAGACCCTGATGACATTTCCAAATAGAAAAATTCTCCCTCGCACCAAGAGAGTTGGAAGTCATATAAAATACATGAGGATATGACATAATATCTCTGCATCTCTCTGCTCTGTGAGTTTAAATGAAGGTAGCCTGGATACACCTTTCTGAAAACCAATACAGGAGAGGAAACCACTCCTCTTGATGGGTTCTTTGATGGTTAACTTTCCTAGGCTTCAGTTGTCCTAATTTATCATATGATTTAACAGACTTGCCAACTGTGCAATAACCTTTTCAGTTTCTGAATCTCTTGAAGTAGAATTCTCCATTTTCACTATAATTCTTTGCTACATTTTTCTGTTCAATTGCTGTGCTCACAGTTTGAATAGATTTGCCATGCCATGGTTCATCCTAATAATAATTCATTTATGAATAATTTAATAAAGATTGTAGAACAGATGCTGTTGGTACCATGCGTATAACCTTCTATTTGAAAAGAACTAACTTCTGCTTATTTAACTTCTTGCTAGGAAGATTTCCTGAAATGATAAATATAGTATTTTTCTAGTGTCAATATGTTATTTTTTTTAAATCAAATGCTATATTGTTGGAGATCTGTACTACAGAGGTAAGTTGAGATTAAAAACAGTTACCAATTGACAAAAAGTCTCCGCAAAAACTCTTTGGTATCATAAATCTATGTAACCTTAAAATAGCTTCTTTCTATGCTCGCACAGTTGCTGATATGTGTGGGTCATGTAGAGGTGGACGTTTATATATAGCTTTTCAAGCAGTATTCCTGACTAGATCCCTCCTGAATTACAATAAAAAGCTCAGGCAATTCTCTGTAAAATAAATGCTTATATTTATGTAATCATAATTTTGTTTGGTAAACAAACTTGCATTTTCTCTTGTTCCAGGGGCCTGGTATTTCTCATCCATATGATAGTGGGCACATAGCAATGACTTACACTGGCCTTTGCTGCTTAATTATTCTTGGTGATGATTTAAGTCGAGTAAATAAAGAAGCCTGTTTGGCAGGACTCAGAGCTCTACAGCTGGAAGATGGGAGTTTTTGTGCAGTCCTTGAAGGAAGTGAAAATGACATGAGATTTATATACTGTGCTGCTT